CAAAAAAAGGAGGCTGGGCCAATTAACAGTTTATTGTTACGGGAGGTTGAGACCAGTGAAGAGTAAGTAAACCTAGAAGAAGTCTGCAGGGTGGCTGTGGTACCCTGGTATGCCACAACTGCTGGCACACAGCCTGTCAGCTCAGAATGAAAACATTGAGTTGAGCCGGCACAAAGGCACTGCTTCCACCCTGAGAGCCAGAGGAAGCATGAACCTTAACACTGAATCACAGCGGCAAACGCTTAATATGAAGCTGCCCCCACCCGAAACAAAAGCACGCCTGTATGTATGGTTGACAGTTAACAGACAGCTCATGAACTTTATACAAAAAGAGTCCTCTCCCAGGAATTGGATTTGTGGATGAACACAAACACTGCTCAAATTGTTTGGGTGCAGCATCTGTGCACTACTGGACTTACAGGGCTTAACAGTGTGACTGCTGACTCAGCATTCACACAACGGTTTTCCTGTTTATAGTTTCTTTTGTTGGTTTTTTGGACTCGAACTACATCCTTGTTTTCCTACTTACAACTATAGTGATGCTACTCTATGCCTTTAGCTAGTTTTGCTGATTTTAGCTTTTAATGTAATGCATATTTTAGCTTTGGTCTGCTTGTTTTACCTTTAGCAATTTAGTTTTAGATTTTTTAACAGATTTCAGAAGTCATTCAGCACACTGTATTTTGGCAGAGAAAGCAACTTCTCTACTTTCAGATCTATTTTGTGACATACCCAGACGCTGTTTTCAATATTTGCATTACTTCAAAAACACCAGGTTAACAACTGTGGGAACAACTCATGCAGTTGTCAAATTAACCAAATTAATTAAAATTTGATGTTTGTTTAATTACTTGTATTGTTTTAATTTGAAAACTGCTGTTGTCAGCTGTTAGCTAATAGAAATGTCAACAACTGAATACTAGATATATATTTTCAGTTCTATACAACCTGTACATGAGCTTGTGTAGAGCCTCATGTACAAGAAAAATAAAGAATTTTGAATATATCCATTTGCCAGATTAAATAAATAAACAAATAAATAAAAACCTACACACTACTTATTCATTTCACTCGAGCTCATTTTTTTGAACTGCTATTTAAAAATGTCATCAGCTCATGGTGGCGCACAAGGGCACAGCAGCTCTGAGCCCATCTGAACATTTTGTTTTCTCATTAGTTTGTGTTTTCACACTTCAGTTCTTAGTGCAGGCACTGCAAAACACACCAATACAGTCAGACTGAACTTCTCTGCATTTATAGTAGATGACATCAGCTTTTGGAAGACATACCTTACCTTCCTTACCCCACTATCTTCCTTCTTAACATAATCAATATTGACTAGTTTCATCAATAATAGTAGTAAAAACCATAATGTGTTTCATCTGTTTTACAGGTAGAATATATATGCTTAATAACAATGAAACAGAGAATAGGCTTTTTTTTTAATCTTGAGTATCCATGTTTAAATATTGAAGTGCATGTTTAAATAAGGTTTAAATATTTCCAGACATATGAGACGAAAAGACCACATTATATAAGTTTAAGGTAATAGTGTACCAGTAAGTAAAATTAACTGGTTGCAGACTTCTGGCTAGACTAAGTAGACATGTAAAGTACTTGTGTAATTACTTGAAGAGCAGTTATGCTCTGGTCTGACTATAATGATTACTTTGTAATTTTATCAGTGTAGCACACTGGGTCAGTGTTTTGTCAGCACAAAACACCTGACATGGTTCTGTTAACAAGGCTGGGCACCATCGTTGGGTAATAATAGGAGAAATTATGCCTTTATTTACATAAAATAATGTTATGTCTATGTGACTGTAAACCAGTGACCGAGCATAAAGTATACACAAAATGTTAATATGTATCACTGTGTATGAACCATACACAGTGATACAAGTAGCATCTGGCTTCTTCGGTGGCCATTTCAGTGTATTTGTATTTCAATGGGTACGAGAACCAGCAAGGATCTGTTTCTCTTCTTAAACAGCTGTTAAAACTCGCTCACCACTGAAAGGCAGTGCTGCTACATCTGGAGTTTCTATGACTAAAATGCAAGCGCTTTACCTGTCAAGAGAGTTCAGTGTCCCGTTTCCCTCCAGATACAATTGCTAAACATTTGGGGGAAAGTGTTGAATATTCTAATAACATTTGAAAATTGACAAGTGAAGAATGATGAATGTTTTTATGTTTATGCTTAAAATGCAAATCACTAATGAGAGCAATCATTGATAAACGGTGATGCAGCATAGAGCACTAATAAAATGGCACTGAGATAGGGTGTATAATCTGCAAAAAACAAACCGCTGGTGGAACATTGTTTAAACACCAGTACCAACTCAAGTCAAGTGTGAAAAGGAACAAAAGCAATTCCAGACTATGAGGACAATGTCATCTCCTGTAAACAGTGACGTTTCTTTGATTTACAGAACATGTTCTAGCATCAGTTTGATAGAGACAACAGAATCTAACTGCTGCAGTTCCTGCCCTCCAACAACGCTGCTCTCACCTCAAGGCCCCAGGATGTTAGACAGTACCATTGAAGCATCAGCATCAGAAAATCAGCTGGATCTCATCATGTGGCAGATTGCTTCCTGAAAGACTGTGCTGACCAGCTGACTGAGATCTTCACATGCATTTTTAATCACACCTCAACTTCAGAAGGTTTACCAAGATCATGTTTGTGAATGGGCCTATGGGCCAGTGCCTCTCCCACTTTACATCTCAGATGTTTGGAAAGACTGGTCATGAAATATAATAAAGACACCAGACCAGCTTGTTTAAACCAGCACCTACAGAACAGGTTTACCACAGATGCAACAGCTATGGTACATGACAGAACATTAGAACACCTGGAGTGAACCAACATACACACCTACATGTTCTGCATTGACTTCTTCAGCCTTTAATATCATCCTGCCATCTAAACTCATCACAAAACAAAACGATGTGAGAATAAAACCTCAACTGTGTTCACTGTTCTGGACTTATACATACTTTATACGTTGTTTTTAAATACTTTATTGTCATTGCCATAAAAACAGTCAGATGTTGAAGGGGTAGAGTAACTGGTTGCTGCAGTAATGCAATATCCATTTCAACAGTCATTGTCATGGAGATTTGAGATGTTAGGATAATGGGCGGGGTCTCAGAGAAGTGCTGTTCGTTTAACAGTCTCACAGCCTGTGGGTACAGACTGTGAGCCATTCTGGTGGTCCTGGCACCAATAGGCCAGTACCCTCTGCCTGAGCGTAACAGATGGAATAGGCCATGTGCGGGATGGTACCTGTCCCGCAGGATAACCGTACTAAGACTGTTAGACTTGGGAAACACCAGCCGTCAATTCTGGCACTGGTGCCCCACAAGTGTGTGAACTCAGCCCATTGCTGGATACCTTCTCATTAGTTGACCAAAAGTCTCAAAGTCACCAGTTCCCTTAGGGGTGTCTTGATTAAACCAGTTAGTCCAGCAACCTGGAATACCTTTAATTGTGGAGGCTCCCACATATCCAGTAAATACCACTGCAATGCTAAAACTGATCTGGTTGATCTTTTTTGCAGAAAACCTGATGTTGGCTGAGTGGTTAGAGCAGTCGTCCTCCAATGCAAGAGCTGGGGGTTCAAATCCACCAGAAGTCACATGCCGAAGTGTCCCTGGGCAAGACACTGATGTGTGTCCAATCAGTGTATGAATATGATAAATCACTGATTAGTCTCTTTAGAATGATTTGTTCAATTAGCTTTGTAGAGATCTAGTAGAGTGCTGTATGAATGGGTAAATGAGGCACAGATTGTAGTGTAAAGCGCTTTGAGTATGTGGATAAGATAGAAAAGCGCTATATAAGTACAATTCGTTTACCATTTACAATTACTCTACACACTGACCAATCCCCTTCCTATCAATCCAACTACATCTTCTAATTTGCAGACAACACACCAGTGCTGGGTCTGATCACTGATGATGAGTTAGTATATAGGAATAAAGTGAATCTAGTAAGGATCCCAACTTGTGTCTTTACATTTTAAAACAAATAAGCCATTTTTGACTTCTGATGGTCTGGGTGGCACCCCACTCCCCACTTATCAATGGAGGAGCAGTCTCCATTTTTAAGTTCCTGTGTCTGACGGTGACTGAGGACTTGTTCTGGAACATCCATACAGATTTGGTCTTCAGGAAAGCTTAGCTTTCAACTTAAAGAAAATTAAAAAAAAAAAAAACTGCCACAGCAGCTGTTTGTGAACTTGAACTGGTGTGCAGCTGAGTGTTGTGTTGTGGGACTGGGTGGTTTACCAACTGCACCAAAGCAGAACAGGTGGCCAGACAGAGTGTGATTAAATCTGCTGAAAGAATTGTCAGTGTACAGTTGCCAGACATCAACACCTTCCTTGTCCCACTTCCTGCATTGTTGATGGCACACCCTTAAAGACCCCTCACACCCTGCCACCATCTGTTACAGTTAACAGGTAAACGGTTCAGATCAATCCATACAAGGACCACCAGATTTGTTTACTTCCACGAGCCATAAAACTTATCGTAATCCTCCTTCCACATTTCTGACAAGACCTTATTATGCATTTACCTCCCTCTGCTCTGCATGTACAAATTACCATAATGTGAATGCACATACCATTTTAATGTACTACTTGTGTACCTAAACTACCTGTCTAGTTATCTGATGTGATTTTCATATTCATTGTTTAATATAAATATTGGTTTTGTTCATATTTTTATATTGATATTAGATACTCAAACTCTAAAATATATTAAAAAAAATGGCAATTAAGGCCTTACACCTTAAATCTAGATAAATTAAGCTGCATTGTATTGTCAGCAAGTGGCTTTTCAGGCTGTGTGGTTTGCAGAGTTCTAACAAAAGCAATCATGAAAAAAGTAGTTGAAAAGTTTTAAGTGGATAAGAGGAGACTGAATGATAGCTTATTTATCTTCTTTTGAGATGGAAAATATCACTCAATATGCAAAAAATGAGGAAAACTTACCAATTTTCTGATTGAAAATTTTATCAAACGTCCCTTCATCTCTGTCCTCCAGGTACTTCTGCATAACACTACGAATACTGCAAAGACAGGAAGGGTGGGAAAGAGGAAGAAAATTATTAATGTACCTAACATAACTATAGCTGGCTCAATCAGCCACATGCAATACGGGCAATGTCCTCCTCCAGTTTTCTCTGAGATCCTGACCCATGTTTAGAACTCTCCTTGCCACCTGTCCCTTGACAGAGGGAACCACAGGCAGGGGACACATGGGAGGATTCTGGGGGAGGGAGTCTAGAGAGATACAAGCTACCCTGGGAATGGGTGTTAAAAAGAATAAGACTAGGAAGAATAAATCAATTAGCACCCCCCTCATAGGCCCATTAACACTTTATCAGCACCTTACACACAGGGTAAGAGAGTAAAGCTGAGCAAAGCTTCACCTGTACTTACTGCTGCAGGCACACACTGAGCACGTGCAAGCCAAACATTTGGCTTCAGGTGTTGTGTTAGCTAAGAAATACAAACTGCTTTCTCAGTTAAATTACATTGTTATGCGCTTTAGAACAATTTTTGTTATAGCCAGTACTGAGCTATAACTGTTGAAGGTTAGTCGATGACTGAAATTGAAAAAAATAAGTTACTTTTCTATTGCAGTTTCACTGAATTTTGAGCTTTTGCAACCAAACAACCAGAGCAGCCTAGTTTTACTGGCTTTACTCAAACTACACAAGCTTATAATTAATTTTCTGAGAGGTACCCATTTAGTGACACTGTGCTTTTTCCACGATCTACTGACATTCCTGATAAGAACTTGTTACTTATTTAGTAAAAGATGAATTAACTTTTAATGGTTACATATAAAATATATCTGTAACAGTTCTGTTTCAAACCACTTGATTTAGTCAGAGATACTTTCACAGGTTCTGATATATTGTTGGTAAAGTCATGAAACTTTGGATACAAATAAGTTGTGTTCCTCTTCAAGGCTGTTAAGCATTTTTCAATAACTGAAACTAGCAATCCTTGTATATCTTGTGCATACTGCTAGCACTCAAGAGTATGTATCATGGATGACTTTGCTAATGCCACAACAAATTACCTCAATATCTTCAAAATTTACTGAATTATAGCCAACATTGTGTTTGTTAGGTTAATTATCTGTGGCAGTCATTTTGTATTGGGTTGACTCCAAAAGATAATTTGTAGATGCACACCCAAAAATTGTTTTATAGTACCGTAGTTTTATTAAAATTCATCCACCATTTCATGAGGTATTGTACAACAGACAAACACACAAACAGGGAATTTCATGGTCACCCACCACCATGAAGAGAAGGCGATAAATACTAAATCTGCAGGCGAAACTTGAATCAGCATCATGGGAGTTTTGCTTTGGTTTGTGCATGGGGTGGCTGTGGCTGTGGCCGAGTGGTTAGTAGGGCTGCAACAATGAATCGATAAAATCGATAAAAATCGATGATTAAAAGCGTTGGCAACGAATTCCATTATCGATTTGTTGTGTCGCGCGATTATGCATCTTTCACGGCGCTGCGGAGCCATTTCGTTTTGTTCACGGGCAGTTCATGGTCAATGCTGACTGCCTGAATAAAGTTTGAAAAAAAAAAACTGCAGCGCGAGTTGAACAGAGCGAGGGGCTGTTTTCAAAGGAAATTAAGTAAATTTTACAAATGACCGACGCAGCGAAAACTGTTCGACCCAAGTACTCCAAAGTGTTGGAGAACTTCACAAAGATAAAAAAATGAGAAGCATGCTGCTTTGAAAATCGCCGACACGACACGGGAGAACCACGGAGATAAACATCAACATGTCGGAGTCACGAGGAGGAAAGAGCTGCAGCTGATACATGTCTCACTCCCAACTCGTGTGTTGCAGGTGAGTCTCTACAATTTAACACATTGTTCTGTTTCAAGAGAGAAAACGTAACGTCAGTCTCTCTGTAGCTGAAGCTGCTTGTTTGTTTGTTTGTTTGTTTTCTGATTAATGACGGTGATAGAGAACGTGTGTTACTTTTTATTTAATGTAATTGGTACAAGCAGTGTTTAAATGTGATTTATAAATAAATCTAACACAAAGATAATAATTTAATGATTAAGCTTCAACTTTTAATTTGCTGGCAAAGTCTGAAGACACTGCATGTATGGCAGGATGAATTGCATTTAAACAGGAATTAGTCATTTATTACATCTACTCAAATGTGTGTAATTAAGTATTTTATGTGTGTGTGTGTGTGTGTGTGTGTGTGTGTGTTTAATTGCTCTTTTAGCTACTTTTGCCTGAACCTAACACTGTAAGTGAAACAAGGCATTTCTTGAGTTGCTGTAAATTATACTATAATACATATTTACTCTCTCATTCCAGAAAACAACAACAAACAACAACAGCCTTCAAGAGGGACAGACATCATGGACACCACAGCAGCAGCTGTCTTCACTGAAACATCCTGAACATGATCATCACTGACATGAGGCCTCTGTCGATGGTTGAAGACGAAGGCTTCACTACAATGATCCACACTTTTAATCCAGGTTACAATAATCCACACTTTTAATCCAGGTTGCACTCTTCCCTCAAGGACACATTTTACAAAGTAGCTACATACTGTGCAGGTATAAAGATATATTTGTATATATATGTGTGTACATTAATTTTTAAAGCTATTTGACTAACTTTTATTTTTTATTATTCAATATTTTACTAACAGAATAGTCAAATAGCAGCCTGTTTTTTGTGCGAATTTCTATGTCAGTCAAATGTTCAATTTTGGAATAAAGGAATGGAAATTAAAACGTTGGGGGGGGGGGTTTGCCGATTCATCGATTAATCGAAAAAATAATCGGCCGATGAATCGATTATTGAAATAATCGTTAGTTGCAGCCCTAGTGGTTAGAGCAGTCGTCCTCCAATGCGAGAGTTGGGGGTTCGAATCCACCATCAGTCACATGCCAAAGTGTCCCTGGGCAAGACACTGAACCCCTCATAGCCTCTGATGTGTGTCCCATCAGTGTATGAATGTGATAAAGCTCTGATTAATCTCTTTAGAATGATTTGTTCAATTAGCTTTGTAGAGATCTAGCAGAGTGCTGTATGAATGAGTAAATGAGGAAACAGATTGTAGTGTAAAGCGCTTTGAGTATCTTGAAATAAGATAGAAAGGCACTATAGAAGTACAGTCCATTTAACATTTACCATTTGTTAGTTGTATCAATTAAAATACCTCATGAACCACTACACAGATTTCAATAAATCCCTCAGAAAGTAACGTCTGTGTTCATACGTGCCAGGTTGTAAATTGCAGGAGCAAAATGGAAAACAGTGTGACCGACTGGCATAATCCAATTTGCAGTGTGCCTTCACACAGTACAACCGAGATAGAATGCCCCAAAATTTTCATTTTTCTACATATTTTTAAACAAACAGACTAAATGTTTAAATGAAACTAGGGCTGCAACTAACGATTATTTCAATAATCAATTCATCGAGCGATTATTTTTTCGATTAATCGATGAATCGGCAAAAAAAAAAAAAAAAGTTTTAATTTCCACCCTTATTCCAAAATTGAACATTTGACTGACATAGCAATTCACACAAAAAACAGGTTGCTATTTTACTATTCTGTTAGTAAAAGATTGAATAATAAAAAAATAAAAGTTAGTCAAATAGCTTAAAAAAATAAATGTACACAAAAATATATACAAATGTGTCTTTGTACCTGCACAATATGTAGCTACTTTGTAAAATGTGTCCTTGAGGGAAGAGTGTAACCTGGATTAAAAGTGTGGATTATTGTAACCTGGATTAAAAGTGTGGATCATTGTAGTGAAGCCTTCGTCTTCAACCATCGACAGAGGCCTCATGTCAGTGATGATCATGTTCAGGATGTTTCAGTGAAGACAGCTGCTGCTGTGGTGTCCATGATGTCTGTCCATCATGCAGGATGTTGTTGTTTGTTGTTGTTTTCTGGAATGAGACAGTAAATATGTTTTATAGCATAATTATTACAGCAACTCAAGAAATGCCTTGTTTCACTTACAGTGTTAGGTTCAGGCAAAAGTAGCTAAAAGAGCAATTACACACACACGCACACACACACATATAAATTACTTAATTCCACACATTTGAGTAGATTTAATAATTTACTTTAATTCCTGTTTAAATGCAATTCATCCTGCCATACCTGCAGTGTCTTCAGACTTTGCCAGCAAATTAAAAGTTGAAGCTTAATCATTAAATTATTATCTTTGTGTTAGATTTATTTATAAATCACATTTAAACACTGCTTGTTCCAATTAAATTAAATAAAAAGTAACACACGTTCTCTATCACCGCCATTAATCAGATAAACAAACAAACAGCAGCTTCAGCTACCAGAGAGACTGACGTTACGATTTCTCTCTTGAAACAGAACAAATATTAAATTGTAGAGACTCACCTGCAACACGAGTTGTATCAGCTGCAGCTCCTTCCCCCTCCTCCTCGTGACTCCGACATGTTTACATTTTATCTCCGTGGTTCTCCCGTGTCGTGTCGGTGATTTTCAAAGCAGCATGCTTCTCATCTTTTATCTTTGTGAAGTTCTCCAACACTTTGGAGGAATTGGGTCGAACAGTTTTCGCTGCGTTGCTCATTTGTAAAATTTACTTAATTTCCTTTGAAAACACTCTGCTCTGTTTCCTCCTCCCCCTCGCTCCGTTCGACTCGCGCTGCAGTTTTTTTTTTTTTCAAACTTTATTCAGTCAGTCAGCATTGACCATGAACTGCAGGTGAACGAAACGAAACGGCTCCGCAGCGCCGTGAAAGACGCATAATCACACGACACAACGAATCGATAACGAAATTCGTTGCCAACGCTTTTAATCATCGATTTTTATCGATTTTATCGATTCGTTGTTGCAGCCCTAAATGAAACATGTAAAACTTGAACTTTCAGCCCACATTAAATCCTTACGTTTATTCAAGTGAAAAATGCTGATATAATTTCACACACCCGCCTATGACCTTTGACCCAAGTAGATCTCAATTTAAGAGCAACATAAATGACTACTTCCCACATTTTATG